TGTCTCCAGTTTTATTAAATGCATTACAACCTAAATTTATACTTCGTTTTATTCTGTTCATGTGCACTTTTTAGTGAATACCATCCCACATCTTAACTGCAGATGACACAACAATTTACCCCTGCCTTAGCAGCGAATCCGACAAAGCAAACATGGCTACTAATGTTGATCAGTGGTTAACTGGGGCAAGAAATGGCTTGTAAAGTTCAACGGCTCCAAAAAAAAAACTGCTTTTATTTAATCACCGCAGAGAAACTTTTCTGCCTGCCACCAGGTTGGTTGATGCTGGACTCCAGGAGATCAACACTACGCCGTCTTTAAATTTTTGAAGACTGTAGGTTGTGTGGATACAAGAAACTGGAAGAGAGTTTCAAAGGTGAGAAAAGAAACTTAGAATATAACTTACGGTTACATCTTGCTAGTTGAAGAGTAAAACGGTGGAAACTAGATGCTAATCTAGTGGTACGCTTAAATGTATGCAGTCAAGGCACGAAGGAAGAAATGTCATCAAAACAATGGCCATGAAAATATTTATAGAAAAGACAGAGGGAACACTTCACTGCGGGAGGCAAGATGTCAGGTCAGGATCGATTCCATTACAGACCCTTCTTTGGATTTTGATAAAAAGCTTGAAATATATAGTAAGAGCACCTTACCAGGTAGGGAAGCAATATTCAATGCACTGGGAAACGTAGATTTATAAATTGTCACGATGGATTCTGACGAGAAAAATTGTCTGTCTCACATTTTTAGATTATTTACTAATCATTAGCAGTCTGTGTCATGCTGAGCGATATTCAAATTGTGCGTTTTTTGTTTGTTTGATTTTTGTTTTTGCTGTTTTTTTTTTGTTTTTTTTTTTTTTGGGGGGGGGTTGTTCTTTTAACCCCTGAAGATTGTCTCAGATGAGATTGAAACTACTTGGGAAAATAATTATTTGAAAGAAAATTTTGTTATTTTCTTTGATCACTTTTGTACAGCCACCAAGAAATTTATTCGTGGACTTGAAAGGATTAAGACTAAAATAAATAAACATGATACATCTAAATTATTGAACCATACCTGATTAAATCAAAATATGCTGCCTAAATACACACACACAGACACACACATATTTAGTTTTTTTTATATATATATATATATATATATATATATATATATATATATATATATATATATATATATATATATATATATATATATATAATGACTTGGATTGAGGAATCGGAGAGCCGAGTTCGAATTCAGTCGAATCCGTTACATTCACTTGCGTAACGGAAAAGGCATGCGTAACTTGGGAAAGGCATGAATCCTCTTCTCTTTCTCTCTCTCACACACACACACGCACTCTCTCCCTCTCTCTCTATCTCTCTCCCCCCAGCTATGGGCAAATAGCAGGACAGCCTATATAGCCCTGCATGGCATCTGGTCTAGGAGAAGGACATCTTTGAATTAAAAACCTGCGGGACCTTCACCACTATAATCAAATCTCATGTGCTGGTGTCGGGCTGTTGGTTCATAGGAACTGATCTGCTTGACACTCATACGTTGAATTCGACGGAAGAGTCGAGTATATATATATACAGTAGCGTCAAAAACTAAGGGACAAAATTTTAAAACCTAATATTTGTTAGAAATAACAACTGTGAAAAGCTGAAATTTTGACAACTGGTAGTCGTTTGCAAATAATTCAAATTTTAGTATGTTATTATGGATGATTACGACTACCAGTTGTCAAAATTTCAGCTTTTCACAGTTGTTATTTCTAACAAATATTAGGTTTTAAAATTTTGTCCCTTAGTTTTGGTCGCTACTATATATATATATATATATATATATATATATATATATATATATATATATATATATAGTGGACCCAATAGTTCAGTTTAGAAGGCAACCACGAGAATACCTTTACAGATAATCTGATTATGGCGGCGAACTGATACGAATGTATGCTTCATAGTGTACCACGAAATCTCCAAATAGCTCTCCCCATGCTGGAATTCAGAGTTGTCCTTCCCCTACGTGTAGCTGCCACCCAAAGGCAAAAGATCCCAGTTGCACAGCTAATTTGTTCCATGGTTGTCACAAGATAGAGTCGTGCCTTTTACCAAGCGAAAAATGTATAAAACAGAATCGACAGGAATTTGAACTCTGCTCGTCGATCTCATCTTCCACAATGATAAGTGTCGCACTAATTTAAGTAAAGTTCGTTCACAACAGCAGCACTCGATGAAATGTAAGTTTTGAAACTAACCTCGTTTCGTTTATTTAATGCTAGATTTAATTAATTTCGACGATATGCCGAAAAGCAATAACTAAAATCTTATTAATGAATGTTCTGGTAATCAACATCCAAGGGAAATTAATTTTTCTAATTAAGACACATTTAATTGTGTCGATATAATTATTCGTGCCTTACTTATAATTAGATTCATCGGTAGATAAAACGTAAAAACTTCGGAAATTACAAATAATGTTTTTAATGTACACACAGGTAGAATTTATAGATAAGTGTACCTAGCTATATACACGCTTTGTCGTTACAAATTTGACTCGTCTTTGAACGAGTGGAAAAAGAGAAAAAAGAGGTTGTTTCTTGAAAAGGCAACATGTCATTTTCTGTTTTACTCAAATGTACTTACGAATTTCTGTGGCACATTTTCCGCCGTCCGTGAAAACACTTACCGAATGGTTGAATTTTCGTACTTGCTTAATTTTACCGTCAAGTTTACTTAAAAGAATGCTTTAAATTGAATATCAAATTCTTTGTTAAAACATCGATTTGTTTTACTAGCAAAAGTTTCTTCTTGAGTTTGCATTTTTATACTTTGTGTTCCGCTAAATGTGCCGAAGACAAAATATACTCTAGAGTTAGAATTTGATAACAGTAATGCTATAAGCAGATAACATATAAGCAGGATTCTATGAGCTTCCTTCATATCTGAGAAAATGATTTAACACCCAGATAAGAACTCTTTGCATTATATATATTAAGAGATAATTTAGTGAATCATCTTCTCGAAAACCCACAAGAAATGCAAAGCAGACGTCATTTTCGAAACTGCAAAAAGCCAATAGTTTTTAACAGATTTCCTCAAAATTTTTAAGTATAATTAAAAACAGAGCATATGTATATATATTCAGTTTATATACATATATTTTAAGACATTTCTATGTTTATACATTCTTTTTATAGATACAAATATTTAAGAAAATGCTCTGTTTATAATAAACAACATTTACCGGCCTGATTGTCCGAGAAATTTTCACAGAAAATATTCGTCTTCTGACAGGATTCGAACCTGCATCCTATACGGAACCGTCATTTAGCTTGACGTGCCTTTACCGATTTAGCTAGAGGAGCGTTCGGTTAGCAAGGTCGAAATTACTGTATTTGAACTTCAGTCTTCTATGAATCTCCCACGTACATTCATATCTGCTCATGGCGTATCAAATGTAAACAAATGACGTCACACATTATAAAAATGGATAAACATTATATTATAAACTTAAATATTTGTATCTATAAAAAGAATGTATAAACATAAAAATGTCTTAAAATAATTGTCGGACTTTGCCCATTTCATAATATATATATATATATATATATATATATATATATATATAATTATTTATTTAAAAATTTATAACATAAATATGTTATAAAATCACTACAAAAATAGCCATTTTGTTTCAACACCCTCGGTGTCTTATCAAGTGATGATGTTGAATATAAAATAAATGGTTTTAAAAGTTTCAAATTAATTAACGATTTTCGCAAGGGGAAAACGTTGTTACAAAAGCTTTTGTAACAAAAGCTTTTGTAACAACGTTTTCCTCTGCGAAGGAGCATTTTGTAACAACGTTTTTTGTAACAACGTTTTTTGTAACAATGTTTTCTCCGTGCGAAGGATTGTTAATTAATTTAAATTTTTTGAAACCATTTATTTTACATTCAACATGACTTGATAAGACACCGGGGATGTTGAAACAAAATGACTATTTTTGTTGTGATTTTATAACATATTTATGTTATAATTTTTTAAAATAAATAATTATATCTGTTCTACTCTGTATTGAGCACTCTTTTAAGAATAGTAATTGTTGGTTATTGGAATTCATTCCATATACACCAATTATATACTTGAGTATATATATATATATATATATATATATATATATATATATATATATTAGTTGGATTGATGTGAGTAATTAAACTCCAACCCCAGACCGCTCCCCAGGATAAGATACCTTACGCCCCCCACCAGTCGTTAGCAGAAACCCATTCTCATTAACAAGGTATCTATCAGAGTAGAACTGACATTGAAAATGAATTTAAACAATGCTCCGAGACAGACACTTAGGCGCTGATGATAGCCGCGTAGAGAACGGCTTGAAATAGACGATTCCATGTTGAGGTAATTTTTTTTTTCTGTAATACACACGCACACACACAGACAGACTTTACTATATATATATATATGTGTGTGTGTGTTTGTGTAAAATGTCAGTTTTAGTTAACACATATCTGCAAAATAACATTATGAATAAAAACCAAAAAAAATTATCTTAGCCGACGCGTTTCGTCAGCTAATTTTTTTCTTTTGCTTTTATTCACACACACACACACACACACACACACACACATATATATATATATATATATATATATATATATATATATATATTATGTTACTTGATCATTTTCTCAAATTTTGGTAAGTAGGACAGAATTGGTATTTACTTTTTGTATTTTTTTTAATCCTGTCACCCGAAGTAAGGCGATAAAGTCACTAAGGTGTAAGGCGGGGAGGTGGGGGGGGTACTGAGAATGAAAGAAACGTTATTGAAGAGAAAGGACAATAGAAAAACATGTCATTATTTCTCTCAGTTCTCCTCGTTGCCTATCAAGATATTTTCCTGTGTTCAACCAGATGATAAATTCTCGTTTTTGCAAAAAGGCAAGCATAAATCATATTTTCCAAACGACAATGCATCATGACAGCTCGATGCTAACGTGCCATTTTTATCCGAAAGCACCAACCCCTGACAACCTTATTTTCTTTCGACAATTCCTTTTCTTCTTTCCACCGACCACAGGTAGAACAACATATACGAGTTAGTATGAAAATTATATCGTGAAAGGTGTTCGCATTAACTTCTACACGAATGTCGAGCTGACTCGCGAATTTGGATAGGGTAGCCGATTTTGAGCTGTGTTCGCCCAGTAGCACTTTTATTTCAGTTTTACTTTCCACAAGTGGATCCGTGCGAAACACTAATATGGTTTGCTCGAGGCAAATTTGGCGAAGAGACACTAAGGTCAAAAGTGGGAGCCGAAAGCATGAAATGAATTTAATGACGTGTCGCATCCAATATAACAACGAATTTATATACATCAGTCAATAAATATATGCCATTTTGGATACGTCAATATGTAGTTCTATACTACTGTGGTTATTTTATTTCGTTTCATATAGACGTTTATTCTCTTATTATGCCATGTTACTCTACTAGTAATATTGGTGTGATATAACCCAGTAATATCTGTCTCATGGTCGGGGTAAGAGCAATGAAACCGGTTTCCTCATCAAGTTCTTCTAGTGAGATTGTTTCACACCCGTAGGAATAAAATAGAACTTATCATAGGTCGGGTGAATCTTTATATAGGGACCAGGGGTCATCTAGCATTTAGGAGATATTTAAATTTTCGAACTTGCTTCATTTTAATTTCTTCAATTCGCAGTTCGCATCATGGCCTTTTTTTTTTCTTTTTTTTTTTTGCTGACAACCTTGCATTCTGTCCTCTTAGAATTGATGTTTACTACTTTCTTCGAGTTTTCTTTTGCCAACTTCTGTAAAAGTACCTCTTATTTAATTTCTGTGTCTGCTAATAGTGTAGACCGGTTTCCATAGCTATCCATTCAGCTTCTGTCGTAATGAAACGGTGTCAGTTGTTTGAGAGCTTCCTGGACCGAAAGCAATAGCCAAGGTTACCTCCGACTAGAATCAACGATCACGTGTCCGTGGTCAAAACGAGTCTTCAGGCTGAAGGCCGGCGGCTGTGATTTAACCTGGAGAGGTATGTGTTCCGCGAAGTCTACTTGTCCAAGACCTCTCTTTAGTTTTCAACAATGTGAAGGGAACTGGTCAGCTGCACAGCTGCGTCGCCACCCTACGGTCACACCCAGTAATGGGACTAATAATGATGATGATGACGATAATAATTTATTGACAGAATAACAATGACTTATATGAATCCAGACTGATATCTTGTCATTTAAGTCCTTGACTAATATTTTATTTACACCAAACAGAAAAGGTCTAAGTCAGAAAAATATGTATTTGTATAGGCGACAACAACTATTTATTAAGTACATCAAAATAGCAAGTATCCTATGCTAGACTGTGTTATAAGATCTCATTTCCCATATGTGACGAAAAGGCGTTTAAATCTATCGGCATTTTATGAAGCATTTGAAATCTATATATAAAATTCTGTCACTTCCGTCTGTCCGTCCGTCACAAATCGTTTTATTACAAAATACTCCCACTATTTTAAAAACGATTTAATGATTAAAATAACAAATACTTATTTAATAAAAATGCAATATTGTTTTTTGCGTGTCTTTAAGTTTTTATATACAAGATTCCAGTTTCCAGTTCGCCTAGCGTTTTCTCAAGAGTAAGAAATCATAAGAATTTATTCTTCACTGTTAAAAAGGAATTAGGGAAAAAAAAGAAATTTTCTTAAAGAATATTGTTTAAAGAAATTATTAAACCGCTAAGTAGGGTTTTTGTCAAAGTATTTTTACAAACAATTCAGCTTATTTAAATTTCATCGATTGGTTTGAGAAATTGAACGATACTTAGAGTGGGTAAAGCCTGACAAAAATTCAATTAGCGATAAATTCAACAATAATAAATATTGGGAGGATTTCAATATGCGTCAGTGAGTTAAAAAAAAATTCTAGGATAATAAATTATTACAAAATATATCACGCAATGTTTTCAGCTTTCCTTATTTATTTGAGACAAAATCTACTTAGATTCCTGAGCGTCTCATCAGGTAGGTAAAGTATGGACGATCAAAAATGCTAATATTCCCAACATTAAAACAGTTTCATATAACAGGAGATAATGAAGGTTTTTAAATAATAAACGCAACTATTTTTAGTTAATTATTGTACAGACATCCCTCGATTAATGTGCATTCGACTAATGCATTTTCGATAAATGTGCTAAAGTTTTTTTATATACCAAAATTCGATTAGTACATCATACTCGATTAATGCGGTAAAACATTCTTCAATTTAATCATAGTAATTGATATCTCCTTTTTTATATTTACCGATGCACACATTAGCCGCACTAATCGAGGGATCCTGTATATGGGACTCACAAATTCGTGAGAACATTTCACAAACCTATGCACTACACGAAGTGATCAATTATATTTCTTTACAAAAACTATGCATAATCTGGTACACCTGTAGGTGCTAACTATTGGTGTCTATGATTTACACCTGTAGATGCTAACTGCTGGTGCCTATGATTTACACCTGTAGGTGCCAACTATTGGTGTCTATGATTTACACCTGTAGGTACTAACTATTGGTGTCTATAATTTACACCTGTAGATGCTAACTATTAGTGTCTATGATTTACAACTGTAGATGCTAACTATTGGTGTCTATTGAATAAATTTAGATTATTTATTAATTGGAACTCGAACAAAAGACGAGTCTACCAGCCATCGAGTCATGGAAGGTGCCTATCTTGTATCCAGATCATGAGACTAAATTAAATTTTCAGCATCTTAGTCTTGAGGAAATTTGCATTGAAACTATGAAAAGATAAGGCTGCGCTTTTTTCGTCCAGTAGTTGGTTGAAGTGGTCCTGACTACGTTTAGAAACATTTCCCATGTGATTATAATGTCAAGATTTGGCAAAAATGAGCCAGGATAGTAGATAGGATTGGAGAGCCTGTCACATATTCCTCTAAAGAAACGGTCTGTATATAGAGATAAGTTACCCCGGATGGAATGAAATCGAAATTTCTTAGATAATGAACGAGTGGACGGATTTTGCTTAAAAAATCGACTCTGAAGTGTGGAATTGACTTGTGACTGAAACTTTTTATCACTGATTTTATTTTTTTGTTTGATGGTTGTTTTAAATTTTTTTTTTATCTTATTTAAGTCTTAATTTTTTTTTTATTTAGCTATTGGTACATCAACAGTACTTAATGGGTCTTGTCGATGAAAAGACTTAAAAATCTCAGCTCTACGTATTTGAACTAAAAAAAAAGGAAACATACAAATATGTTCTGGAATCTAGAATGGTGACATTCATGACACATTTCTCAATAATAAAACTTCGGAATATTAAACTGAAAAATAACTCGGTTTCTGGATCAGTTATAACAAATTTGGTATACAAGTTAAGGGAGTTGAACACGGGCTCAGTTGCTCTAAAGGTCATTTTTCCAACAGCGCAAGAAAAAAAAAAAACGATACAAAAAAAAATATTAACCTGAGCACGCGAGTCTCGTTCTCATATGGTTTATCATGCGTAGCGTTCAACTCGTTCTGAAAGGTTTATCCTCTTTATGCGCGTTTGTTGGATGTAAAATAATTTCGGAAATAAAAATGGAGATGATGAAGCAAATATAGACAAGTTTACAGCTTTTATATTTTATCTCATCATCTCCACTTAGCATCTTTATGTAACCGTTTTCTCAGACCAATGATTCAAAATGGTTTCAAACCAATAAACACTTTAAATTTAAAAAAAAAGGAGCCTTCATTAGACCTAGACCCCCATAGACTGGTACTACAAAATCACAAGCAGCTATTCCAAATAATAAAACCCACATCATTTGAAGACTTTCAACAGCAACAAGAACAAACACGCTTATGACATATAGCTACGAGAGAAAATAATATAATCAAAATGTTAGCTTTCCCCACTACCTAAAACAAAAAAAACCGTCCTGGGTAAGACGATAAACTACATCCGACAGCAAGGCCTTTGATCAAGAAGTTTTGAGGAGCATGGAACCATCTCTTAATTGCTGGTGTTCCCAGATCCACCCAGACCTGGGGTGGTAGCACCTGTTAGGGCCCTAGCTATGGGCAAATAGTTAACCCCCCAAAGGGTTAAAACACTATGAAAGTATAAAAATAGGTTTTAATACCAGTAATACATTTTTTGGAAAAATTATTACCAGCAATACATTTTTTTAAATGAATATTACCAGCAATATATTTTTGAAAAAGAAAAATAATACCTGCAATACATTTTTGGAAAAAATATTACCAACAAAACATTTTAAGAAAAAATATTACCAGCAATAAAAATCTTGTCGACATTAAATAACCCATTGAGGTTGGTATACCGTAAAACAAATCAAACCAAATCAAGCAAAAAAAAAAAAAAATGGAACAAAATGCTATACATATTAGAAAGAGCTATAACAGTCAGTGGACTTAAGATGTCTAATTTCCTGAAAAAATCTTTTTAAAAAATGTATAAATTTCAATCGATAGTCACACGGTCCAATCGATGAATGCGCAATGTTTCTTTTTTTTTATGGAAACATCTAATTGCAACAAATTTAATCTAAGCACATATTGCAACCTATTCATTCTCACGATAAATCAAGTTTATCATATCATCCGTATATTCTAAGATATATCCACAATTGAGTTTCGAAAACACTGTCACGATACACATATTTTAACTTTACACGAACAAGCAAAATTATTGTCTGTCTATATTTCCGTAAGCGGTATTGTAATTATTTACCCTATTTGCATTGTTCGGACTGTTGTCCTCATCTTTGTTGCCATATTCACGACGTTTCGATCGTTGTACGCTCCGGCCTTCTTCAGATGAACAGAATCTATCCCGATGGATGAAATAAAGGGTTCATTTCGAAATTCCAATCACCTGAAGAAGGCCGGCGCGTGCAACGGTCGAAATGTGAATATGGTAACAAACATGAGGACAACAGTCCGAACAAAGTAAATAGTGTCAAAAAAAATTAAGTGTGATCGTTGCTTCAATGTCACGTGCTAAAACATGAATCCTGCGGG